CCAGCCGTAGAGTTCCGCCTTGTCGTCGAAGCCAGTCGTCCAGAAGACCTCGCGGTTGTTGGGGTTGGGGCCGCCGTTGAAGTGCTGCTCCTGGCCGTAGTAGACGATGGGGATGCCGTCGCGGAGCATGGTCAGAGCGTACATGTTCTTGGCGAGGGCGACGTCGCCGTTAAGGTAGGGGAAGCGGGGCTGGTCCTGGTTCTCGACGAAGGAGCCCCAGACGGAGGGGTCGATGGAGGACATGCCGGCCATGGTGTTGGCGCTCTCGTAGACCTTGTCCATGTCGCCCTCGAGGGTAGAGAAGACGGTGGCGAAGAGGTGGTAGCTGCTGTAGTCCATGATGCCGTCGAGGTAGTTCTGGTAAGGGGCGAGCAGGGTCAGGGAGGAGTGGCTGACCTCGGCGAGAAGGAAGACGCCGGCGGCCTCGCGGAAGCCGCCCTCGGTGAAGAACTCGGGCTCAATCTCGAGGGCGGTGTCAACGCGGAGGCCATCGATGGAGTACTTTGTGACGAGGTCCTTGATCCACTCGGCGTAGATCTTACGGACGAAGTCGTCCTCGGTGCGGAGGTCGGGCAGACCCTCGAGCCAGCAGAGCTGCTCGGACTGGAGGTTGTTCCAGTTGATGGAGCACTCCTTGTGGTAGTACTCGGGCTTGTTGAAGGGCTTGTACTTTGTGTAATTGCCGGGGGAGTCGTTCAGACCGGAGTGGTTGGGGGCGACGTCGACCATGAGGTACATGCCGCGGGCGTGGAGGGCGCTGGAGAGCTCCAGGAGGTCGGCCTCAGTACCAAAGTGCGGGTTGATGGAGTAGAGGTCCTCGGTCCAGAAGCCGTGGTAGCCCTCTCCGTTGCCGCCAACGTTTCCCTCGACGTTCTTCACGACAGGCGAGATCCAGATGGCGGTGGCACCAAGGTTCTGGATGTAGTCCAGCTTGCTGGTGATGCCCTTCCAGGTGCCGCCGCAGTACAGGCCCGGGGTGATATCGCAGACTGGGGTCGAGCCATCAGAGGTGGCAAAACGGTCGGTGATGATTTGGTAGATGCTCTGGTTTCTCCATCCGGCGGCATCCAAGGCCGAGACGCCTTGGAGGGCCCCGACGGCCAGCAAAGAGAGTGTTGTTGCGAAGGAACGCATGTTTACACAGTTGATGAGAAGATTATGGTATTAAGGCAGTGGTCGATTATCCAAGAGAAGGAAGAACAACAGACAAAAGGAGATACGATGTAAAGAGAGTCGGTTTGTGAACGATTGGAGTGTAATGTACGGCAGGGATCAAACGAACGATAACAGCACAAGGCAGAACGAGTGATTGCCTTGGCTTGAACTGCGGCACCTGTAGGGAGAGAGGGATGGAAGGAGGGAGAAAGGAGGAAGAGAGACTAAGCGGAAGTGTAAAGACAGCGGTTGAGTAGCATATATTGTATCTTCGCACCAACGAGGACCACGAGCAGTTTACTCCCACACACCAGACTCGTCTTTAGACGAGAGCCTCGCTTCGCGGACCCCGTTCGAATCGCCCCTGCCAAAAGGGCTGTGCTATTGGCAGAATACGAATAAAATGCCAGATCGAGTGGTCCCAGCCGATCTAGGTGAGCTCACGTTGTCCCTTTTGAATCAGATCCCGGCTGTCGTCCCCATCTGTAGATCCACTACCGTCCCTACCCATGCGGTGGATGGGGTGGTCTAGAGTCCTAGACGTAGCATCCGTTGACAGTTCGGATACTGCGAAACGCATCGTTAGTGGAAAGGAAGGATTTAAGCGAGGAGAAAAGTCAGAAATACGAGAGAAGGGGGACAACAAGACTCTTGGGGGGAGGATATCAGAGCCCAAGAGGAAGGCGGTCGTGAAGAAGAGGCTCCTTTCTGCGCATCCTGAACAGGGTGTTTGGGCGCTAACACAATCTACATTAGACAGTCGACCCCGGCTCTCCCGTCCGAGTCGGCTCGAAAACGGCAAAGCCCCAAGTCGGATAGTTTCCGGCGACGGGGGCTCTTCTCCACTTTCATCCCGATCGGTCAATATTCCACTATTCTATAGAGTGCTTTTCTGATTAATCGCGTTGGCTCTTCCGGCGTGAATGAGCGAATGGATTCCCGGCTTTTCCTAATCGGTGAACCTGCGTTTGGGAGAGAGTACTACGTAGATGTTGCTCCCCCTTCTGCAGTGCTGCAGCGCCGCAGTCCTGGAGCTTTTGTTCCTGGTCCTATCTGGGTTTAGTCCATCGGTGTGAGCGTGTTTGTCACTTGTGACGTTCCCACGTTCCGACGCAGGAGTAACGGGGTCTTCCGTGAGGCTGTGAGATCGAGCTCGAGCTCGAATCAGATTCAATGAAATGGGACCAACTGGTGGACTTTTGAAGTATCCATGGATAGCTCCTGAGGTGGGTAGGTGCTGAATTTGGTGAACGGGTGGGGCAGGCTAGCGCGACCTCCGAAGATGTTTGTTTCACAGCACCCTACCTTCTCCTTCGAGTCAATTGAGATATCAACATCGAGCCAAAGTCGTATCGCGATGTTGTAGAGATGTAACGACGGGTACAGGTATTTTGACCACTCTCAGGCTGTCGAAGCAGTCTGAAGGTAAGAGTCCTTCACATGAACGCAAACCCCCTTTCTCAAACCAGTTCATTCTCATCATCATCCTCACGTGGGCTGTTTCTAATTGCTCTTACTAAAAGACTGCTGATCGTCTTCGTATAGCGACAACATACTTTCAGTGTTCAATGTAATTGACTTTTCGTTGGATTCGAGTTGGTTGCCAGAGCTGTGTCGCTAACATTCTCGGACAATTGGTGAGATTTGAAAGTGGAAGAAAGATTTTGCGGAAAGCTTGGATCAGAGAGGACTTTGTCCAGCGCCACGTTTAAATTTCATAGATGCCCCTAACTTATCCGCTTGATTTTTGGTTGAAGACGAATCCAGCGACTCTCCTTCCTCGCCGAGTTCGGTCTTACAAGCATCAACTCTTCGGCTATGCAGGTAGCGGACGGAGGGTTTTTTGGTAAGGAAGGTACAGATGCTTATTGCGCAGCGTGCTCAATGCGAACGGCCCACTTCTCCGGATAATGAAAGATATATCAGACCTTCAGAGCACTTATACACCTACTATCCGCACTAGAATGAAAGATATAGATGAAGACAGAAAATGGTGAGAATATTCCCACAGACGGGGTACTCGTCCGCGGGCAAGGAGGTGAGCACGATATAGTGGAGAACCCACCGTACCTTAGATGCAACCTCTTTAGGCGGCTCCTGTGACATGACGTAAGTTGGAAGACGGCACATGGCTTCCAGCAGACAGAACGACGCGATGTGCTTGTGGCCGCATACGCATCCGCTACATGATACAGGCATATCTGGACTGTATTCTTGCATCCATGTTGCATTTGACATGCAGAGAATTGATTTTTAGATGGACAACGGCGGACGTTGCAAAACCGATGCCGTTGAAGTTTGAATGGGTCCCGCCAACCTTTTTTAATGGGCACTGCGACCTTCTAGTCTCAACTTTAAAAAGCGTACCTACCTTACTAAGGCAAGCACGCAAGCTCCTTCCACGTGCCCAGGAAACGAACCAGACGACATGTCTCCATGGTGTCGATGGGAAAACGAAGATGAGCATCGCTGTGATATCTTGGATGCACAAGAACTCCTGCAGCGATATTAACCTGACATGTCACTCACAGTCACATCGCACAAGATGTGGTGAGACTCGAGGAATGATGTCAATAGGACCATCGAGAGCCAAGAAATGCGGCACAAATCCAGCCGTGGCAGGACCGCTTAGCGCTTTCTGGGCACAGCATTAGGTCGCAGGTACTGAATCTTGACTTCACTGGGCGATGCCCCAAATCCTTGGCGATTGGGAAAAGAGCAGAACGGCATCACAGGCACGTGATGCCAGAATTCGAAACCCAATCAAGGCAGGCACAAGCTCCGAGTTCACCTCACCTCCATCTCACATCACATCACAGGCAGGGACACCCAGGCGTTCTTTCCCGCACTAGTTCACTTGACAGGGGCAGGCTTTCCCTCCTTCCTACCCTACCTTACCTGACAAACAACGGCGGACCCATCTACTTCTGCAGATTCAACGTCATCTCAACCGCCTTCTCTCATTCTTCTCACTACAGACTTCGCGCGGAAGCAATCCAATTTGCCGGCGTACTCCAACACAACCTCTCATCTTCGACGGGTCTGAGGTCGATCCCACCCTCTTCACATTCGAGTGAACCCTCCAGCGATAGTTTTCAACCGATGGAACGCGTGCTAACTTGTCTCCCCACATCCAGGTTTCGAATCCTTCCTACCTGGCACGAACGCCACCACTCGAAATCAAACAAAATATCTACACCTAAGTGAGATTGCTCTTACCACACCCTGCCTTACGAGTGCCGACCTCCTCTTTTCGTTCCAACAGCCAACACGATCATTCTCCAACATGAAGCTATCCCCCCTGTCACACCGTCTGCAAGCGCAGACATGGGAAGCGTCATGACGTCGTCCAAGATCCTCCAACGCCTGCCGGTAAGTGCGAACGAACTTGTCGATCTGCTGCTTCAGTTCCAGTTCCCATTGTCCCATAGTTTTACCAATTCTTGCGTGTTTTTTCCCCGCATTCAACCCCATCCCCGCTTTCCATTCAATCCATAGGTGCGACCGCGCTAGCCTTCCACCTTCTCGGTGTCGTTCGAGGTGAAGCTTGACGGAGAAGTCTCCGATTACGTCGTTGAACAAAGCTGCCTATCTTCAGTTTCCATTCCTTGGCGACTATCTCAGTACATAAGGAGCCAAGCTGTCCCAAGCCGGGAGGCTACCTTGGCTGTCTTGGATTTCAATTCTACCTACCCATTTCTTCTACAGTTTCTCACCTGCACCCCTTTGCCAGGACGTTCCCCCCTCGTGGCAGTGCCCAGACTTCCAGCTGGGTTCACCCCCCAAATACCGGCATACCATTATCTTCTCTACCAAGCTGAGTCTCAATTGTCGTCACCGTCAATATGGCCTCGGATCTGAAGCGAGAAAAGATTGGCGACCAATCGTTATCAGACCATGCCGAGACCGATTACGCTCACTTGGACCATCCAGGACGACCGTCCGAGGCCACGGCGGTTGATGAGGAAGAGAGAAAGCGTCTAGAGGCTTCGCGCAAGCTGGAGAACCCTCTTGCTGGCTTCACGCCTGAACAGTTGAGTCGAAAAGGCGAGGACTACTGTCAACAACATGGCATTACCGACCAAGAAGACATTCGGGCTTTTCGCCTTGGCGCCATGATCGCTGGAAATATGAACAAGTACGATAGCATGACGGAGATCACTGCCGATGAACGAGCAGTGCTTGACGGCGAGTCTACTCACAAGTGGCGGAACCCCAAGATGCTCTATGGCGTTGTTGCCGGTCGGTCTTCCGGTCTCTTTACTCTTTCTTCTACTTCTACCTTTTCTTTGTCTTGTTTCAGTCATACCTCTCCAGCCTCTCCCCGTCTCCGCCTTCCTCTCTACGTACAGAGGCTGACCCTTCCCAAGTTTGTTCATTCTGCGCTGTCGTCCAGGGTATGGACGAGACTGTTGTCAATGGCGCCCAGTCCTTCTACAAAAAGCAGTTCGGCATCGGAGGAGAGACTGAGCGAGACACCTGGCTTCTTGGCCTGACAAACTCTGCTCCATATCTCTGCTGCGCCGTCATCGGTTGCTGGCTTACAGAACCTATGAACAAGCGGTTCGGCCGCCGTGGTACCGTCTTTATCTCCTGTCTCATCTCTGCCCTCGCCTGTTTCTGGCAGGCTTTCACCAATACTTGGTGGCATATGTTCATCGCTCGTTTCTTCCTCGGTTTCGGCATTGGACCCAAGTCTGCCACCACTCCCATCTTCGCCGCCGAATGTGCGCCTCCTCGCCTGCGTGGCGCCCTCGTTATGCAATGGCAACTGTGGACAGCCTTTGGCATTATGATGGGATACGTTGCCGATTTGGCTTTCTACTACGTGCCTGACAGAGTTGGTATTGTCGGCCTTAACTGGAGGCTGATGATGGGCAGCGCCATGCTACCTGCTGTTTTTGTCTGCGCATGCTGCTACATGTGTCCCGAGTCCCCTAGATGGTACCTGACCAAGAACCGCCACTCCGACGCCTACAAATCCATGTGCCAGTTACGCTTCAAGAAGGTACAGGCTGCCCGCGATCTCTTCTATGCCAATGCCCTTCTACAAGCCGAGAAGGAGACACAAGGCATCGGTAAACACAACCGTTTCCTAGAGTTTATTACGGTACGCCGTAATAGAAACGGTATGATTGCGAGTGAGGTTGTTATGTTTATGCAACAATTTTGCGGCGTGAACGTCATAGGTGAGTTTTATTTATACAACGAGGTCTTATATGGTATTTGTATATATTTTTACAGTATATCTATGTATACTAGTATAGTGTATACGCGTATGGAACCGTTTCAAACGGTTGTGTATTGCATATTGGACGGTGATGGAAAAGATGCCTCAGACCCGATGTTTATTCTAATCTAGAGTATCTCAAACACTGTGCTAATCATAAGCAGCTTATTACAGCTCTGAGATCTTCCTGGCGGCCGAGTTCAGCGAAGTAAGTGCCTTGTCGGCGTCCCTTGGCTTTGGCATCATCAACTGGCTCTTCGCTCTTCCGGCTTTCTACACGATTGATACTTTCGGACGGCGCAACTTACTCTTGACAACCTTCCCATTGATGGCCATCTGTCTTTTTTTTACTGGATTCTCATTCTATATACCTACAAACCCCGCCAAGATCGCTTGCATCGCCTTGGGCATCTATCTCTTCGGCATGGTCTATTCCCCTGGCGAGGGACCGGTACCTTTCACTTACTCGGCCGAGGCATACCCGCTGTACATCCGCCCCATCGGCATGTCTCTGGCGACGGCCACGACGTGGTTCTTCAACTTCCTCCTTGCCGTCACCTGGCCTTCTCTTCAGGCGGCCTTTACGCCGACGGGCGCCTTTGGGTGGTATGGCGGTTGGAACATCATCGGCTTCTTCCTGGTGTTGCTGCTCGTCCCGGAGACTAAGGAGAAGACCCTCGAGGAGCTGGACGCCGTGTTCAGCGTTCCACTGCGGACTTTTGCGCGGTACGGGCTCGCGCAGTTCTTCTACTTTTGGAAGAGGTACATCTTTAGGCAGGACATTAGCCCGCCTGCTGTGCCGCATGCTGGAGGGGTTGACTATCATCGGGACTCGTTCAAGCAGGAGAAGCAGCACAACCCGACTGCTCGTGTTTAATGAATGCTAGAGGAACATTCAAGTATCGGAGACAAATCCTGCTGCTACTTAGCCAGACCAGCGTGGGACGGGCCAAAAGGTCCAGAAATGATTGCCGCTTTATAACAATGGCGTGATGGCACCACTATCTATCACTTGAGGAGTATATGGAGACTTAATGTACATCAGGGCAAGGAAGACTTGTCTGAGAAACGACTTGCTTCAACTGTAAGACTACCTATTTGGAAACGAACTATGAAACGATCTATGTCAAGCACACGATCTTCGATTGATCTAAACGTCCCATTCAGGCGGCGTAATGCCTGCCCGCTGTGCGACTGGTTTTCTCCACTCCTTGTTAATTGCGACGCAAACTTTGGGTACTATCAAATTCTATCCAGGCAATCAGTTCCGTAAAGGCTCATATGGCGCCCTCTGCGCGACGAGCAGTGAGGGCAGAGTTTGCATACGACGGATGCATTGGCACACCGCCGATGAATGAGAACGACCATTTTGGTCGGCTTCCGAGTTTTAGGTGACATACTGATCACAAAGATTTCTGAGCTGACTTCTTCCTCCGGTCTGGTAGCAGAGACTCATCACCAAGCCCCAAGTGCGATGATTTACTTCAGGTGCGCTACTTGTATATGTCTACATCACTCTCCTGTCAGCAGTAGTTGGTTGGGTGTCTAGGTTTGTGAGGAAGGAGGCATTTAGCATTCAGCAGGTGGTATGAAAGTTCCTCCTCCTTGTCTTACGCCCTTCTCTCGACGTGTTCAAAACAATAGGTCATCTGAGATTGTAACCTGAAAACCTGAATAGGTCTCCTTTGGACGATTGTCTGAATCCAGTCTCCCAGGGCAGGTGAAGGTCTTTCCGAGCCCTTGAATGCTCCTTGGGATGGAGGGGCGAGGTGCACCGCTAGGTAGGTACTTGGGTCACTTCTCCTTCTGTCCTACCATAAGAGGCACAAGGGGAACCTGGCCGAGGGGTATTTGGAGAGAGTCATAGATTAATCCATAAGTCCGAGGCCTCACTCAACCTAACCTTTTGTTCAATTCACCATTGGTGACTCCTTTTTCTTTTTGTCACTTTCTTTCAGCATCTCGCCCTGTTCAATTACTTTACTTCAATTCGGCCGAGAACATCGGTATCGCTTTCAACTATTCAGGCCCCAGCATCTTTCGACCTCGTGTCACTCTTGCCTGAAGAACAAGTAGGTATGCCTCGCATGCGTATTCGTCACCCTCAGCCTGAGGTATCACAGGACAGGGCGGAGCGTGGTCTATATATTAGTTCACCTCGGAAATTCTCAACAGCAGTAAAACGGACTCTTGCCCAGAAGCTTAAGATGGTTATACCCCTAATCCCGAAGTGCAAAGCTACCGAGCTGTAGTTTGTGGATTCCAAACCCACAAGCGACCTTCTTTTCCACCCTTTTTTCCTTCCTCGCTTTTCTTTTCTTTTCTTTTTTTTCCCCCGGCGTGAGGCTGGAATATTTCACTTCGTTAATTGGGTAGAGGGAACTACAGATAATCTGCCTTGAGGTACGCATACCCTCGTCCTTGCGGATACAAACTTACAATTGTTCGCACACTACGCTCGTGATATATACGTGTAATGAACCGGTCTTCGAGACAGATAGACTACAATTTGTCTACCTGAGACGGCTCCCTCATGACCAAAGCATCCAAACATGTCACTGGCTAGAAGTGAACGGTGCGGTGGAGCTTAAGGCCCTCGATCAAGGAGAAACTGCTAAGTGTATAAGGGACGGAACCCCCCCGACGGAGCAATCCGCCGGGGCCGTACCGTGTATTACGTATTGGGGAAAACTGGGTATATTGCGCTCCATACCTAACTACTAACCAAAACTCCCGACCTTCCGCCGCCTCTAGCCGTCTACAGGGCGAGCTTCACCCACTCTAACGCGCACAGGACCTCCTGGTGCCAGCCCGCGTGGGCAGCTAGGTTCAGCATGATCCGTTCTCTTTTATAGGTATTATCGTCGCTCAGGAGGGCCCGTAGGAGCTGTCTGAGGCGCCGGCTTGTCGCCCTGACCCTGTGCACCTCCGGCCCGCCCATCGTGGCCATTATGGCCAGGCCGGCGTCGATGTGCCGGATCCTGGCATCCGTACCGGCCCGGCTGTCCACGGCGTTCGTGCCGTCGCCTAGCCGGATTCCGCACCGTCGGAACGCCCTGCGTTGCTTCTCTGACTTCAACATGCCCATGGTGGCCACGATGGCTACGGCGTCGAGCTGGCCGAAGTCGTCGAGCCTGAGAGGGGCAGACTTGTCGAGGGGCATCGTTGGAGGCGGGCTCGTCGACGTGGTTGTTTGACTGGCCGGCAAATTGACTGGGGGTTTGTGCGGGCTGGAGAGGGTGATGTGAGATGTGATGAGGATGGACAGAGTCTTCGTCAGCTCTGATGAGAAGTAAGATCTGTCCCGTTGAGTCTTGTCCGAAGGAACGTCGTGTTGAGTGAGGCATGGAGATCTTGGCGCTTGCAGAAGTCGCCCTCCATTTCAACGCCTTGCGGTCGTGGACGAAGCACTTTTTTTTTGGGGGGGGGGGGTGCTCTGCCTCGACCGACGTGTGGTTGATTTCTTCGGAAGCCACTGTGGTGTTGTTTGAACTCTGACCACAGGCCTTTAAGGTCTCTGGATCGTCTCCCTCTGTCGCTTAGTCGACTCTTTGGGTAATAGTGCCAGCACTATTTACACTTTGTCGTGTATATTCCCGGGAGGGTTGGATCATCCTCTGGACCTGCATAATCTCCAGCTGAATGCTGGCTGTCTTATGCGAGGCATGTTGTAACGGGGAGGGCTAGATCTCCATCTAAACCTGTTCAATCTCCAGCTTGTCACTGGCTGTCTTGTACGAGGTGAAGGCTGAAGTGTTAAACCCTCTGATAAGCCTGCGTAATCTCCTGCGTGTTGCAGGCTGTCTTATGCGAGGCCAGTGCTGTAGGTCGGCGGTGTTGGGTGCATTCGGGACTGTCGCAGCCCCTTCCCTATGGCTCAAGGTTGCCGAGAGATGGGCCATTTCGGGAACGGTAGTGGATATGTTGGAGACCTCCGCGGTCGATGGGGAGAGACTCCAGTAATCCATGAGTCGTTGATCCTCGAGCTGTAGGAGGAGAGCTATGTGCGACAGGGGTGATGGGTACACAAGGGGGTGCCATTTGTGCTATCTGGCATGCCCTGGTCTTATGTGAGTGAGCATAAGGTATGTGTGTAACCAAGCAGATATGATATCAGCGGCCTGTTTAGGGCTTGATATGCTGCGTTGTCGGTATCGTTCAAGCTGAACCGGTGTTGGAGGCTTGGGAATCCATAGAGGGCTCCTGTTGCCTTGAGGGGATGGAAGGAGGATGAGACTGTGTCTGAGGAGAGAGAAGAGAAGAGAAGAGAAATTGTAAGGGAAAATGAGAGCATCTTATAGGAATTTGGAAAACATCAAGGTGCTCGAAGGGCCATGACCCATTCTATCTCCGCTGTCTTCAAGGCCATGAAGCCCTTCGGCTAAGTGCCTTGATGGCTATGTCAAGTTTCAGTTTCGTCACCCATTAACGGAGGTGGACTACCTTGAGGGTAGAGTGGCAGAGGAAAGTCAAATGTCGAGAACTCCTGCATAAACCTCTTGGGCTTCCACGCGAACTTGCGGGAGGGTGTATGGGAAATAGTATAGTTGCCTCGAGGATTGGCTCTGGGAAGTTTTGGAACCGTCTTTAGATCCGGTTGTACTTCAACCTCCAAAGATCGTCATTGAAACTCAAGAGTCTTGAGAAGCAGGTAAGAATAACCGGAAGTCATGCTACTGGTTCTCAAGCACAGGTATGCGAACAGCTACAAGGGGAAAGCAGGCACGGTGTTATCGTATTGGCTTATGATATCAACGGTACAAATCGTTCGACGCCATACAAGTCAGTTTGTAACTAAGAACAACCCTGATGATCATGGCGTTCTCAAGTTTTTGGAGATATGTTATTGTCTCTTCTGGTTGTGTCAGGTGACAGTCCGCTCAATCGGAGGTTGGATGACTGGAGAAACGTCCTACCGCAAGCGAGAGACATATAGTTTTGCATCCCAACACGAATAAACCGACTGAAAAGGCAATGCGACTGAAAATATCGCCCGCACCTTGGGACGGAAATAGAGTTGACAGCGGATCAGCAGGGGCGAAGGCAAACGGGACGGCAGCCATCCACTGGATTGGGTCTGGGCTATTTTTTGGTGACCATCGGGAGCCAAGTGCCAGGGTAGGAGCTCTGGAGCCCCAACTTGCCAGCTTCCAGAAAGAGGGCCGAAAAACCGTGCATTAGCGCAACTGCAAGCGTCCGGGAGGGAGGCTTGGGAGGGGCGGCCGCACGGGAAGAACGCTGGAGACGTTGTAGGCGCCGCGGGCAGCTGCCAATCAGACCGGCCGGCGGCGACCCTCCCCCAGGCGGTTTTCTATCGATAAGATCGGTTCGCACCCCAGAAGCAGCGTCCGTGACCCCTGCAGTGCGCCAGTGATGCGGTGGTGCATCACTGGGTGCGACCTGACAGCTGACGTCAGGGGTCTGAGATGGACGCAGCTTCCCGCGCGACTACAAACAGAGCACACCTCCCCGGTTTCCCTCACACGATGCTGCCGTTGCTTGTGTTTGCTTCACCAACTTACCGTTTCATCTTTGCCCTATCTTCTTCTCGTTCTGTGTTTGTGTGTCTGAGGTAGACACGAGATACAGACAGACAGGCAGACTTACAGAAAAGCTGACCAACATATTCACCGTCCGCTTGCTTGGTGTCTAATCATAGCCCGTGATTTCTTTGTAGCTTTTCACCTTGTATTCACCGTGCCCCTTTCCTGCCTTCGCCTAATTCCAGGGTGGCAGTTGGTACCTCGAAATATTGCCCAGTATGGAAACCGCGCCTGGCTCTTCGCCTTCCCCGGCAGCACCTGCCGTGGGGCAGGATGCGGTTGTGCAGGAGGCAGCGACGGACGTACCACCTCACAACCACCCAAGGAGTACAAA